AAACCTCTCCGATGCCTAAGTCAGAAAACTTGACAAATAGACAAAGCTCTAAGTTCTCAGAAAGATTGTGTTCAATTACCTCCTCCAAGGTGATGCTTGTGAGCTTTTATAAGTTTCATATGGCACAATCCTAGTAGGACTTGTATTTCTCCATGCAGAGTCCTCCTAGGATTCAATCTCCTTAAGGATAATGCTTATCCTTTTACACCCTCCCCCACTGCTTAAACCAAGTGGGATGGTTTTCTTTATGGCCGAACTTCATTTTGACCGAAGTAAAATTGGCTATACCGAGCCACAGAGGGCCGAACTATACTTAGCTCGGTCTTCTCCTCCAACTCTTTACTTCGGCTGCCCTGTTCAACCTTGATGTGCTTAGTTCAAACTTCCAAGTAACAAGTTCTGACCGACCTAACCATTGTAAGTCATGACCGGACTAATTCCGACACCGGCCTTCCCAGAACATACTGCGACCGGACTAACTCTGAGTTGCCTCCAGACCGGAGTAATTTTACTCTTCCTTGGGCCGAAGTAACTTTGTCTTTTCAAGGCCGGAGTAGCTTTCCATCCATGAGCCGAAGTAACATTTATTTCTCCCAGCCGGAGTAACTACGCTTCTCCTGGGCCGGAGTAATATTGCTCTCTAGGCCGGAGTATCTTTTACGGCCTTCTCACTTAGTCCTTCGCGTTTTGGGCCTCAAAGCCCAACTTGCAGCTCGGCCCAATTTTTTCCCAAAAATTACCCTCTCAGATAATATATAGGACATTTTTTTGAAGAGTTTGTTTATAAACAAAAAATAGTTTATAAAAGGGTTAATACTAAAAAATTAATTTATTTGGTGTATTTCTAATTTTGTGACTTTTCTAACAACTTTTTAATATAAACAAGTTTAGTTAGTTTGGGTATTTTGGCAAGAAATGAATGTGAGACCCAACTTTTTAAGGCAATAATTTGTGTTTTTGAAATGTATGATTCCGCATGTTTTCTTTGGAACTATTGTATATTTCAATTTCAAATATATCTCTTTTTTCTTTTTCTTTTTAAAAAATATATATGTATATATTTTTATCAATCAATAATATATAATAAATTAAGTGCTCCTATTCTGTAAGGGCTTAAGCGAATCAATTACAATAAAACGTTAAACACTTGATCTCAAGAGCGAGGTACCTAAATAGTAGGAGCGTAAAAATGGCTTGCCGTCCATGGGCGGCCCGAAGCCCACCTACAATCTGGGGTGGGACGGGTCAAATTAGGCCCGGTTAAGCCAAGGCCTGAGCCCAGCTTGGGACCCTGGGCTTGGGTTTGGGCTTAGGCTTGAGCTTGGGCTATCATTTTGAAACTCGGCTCGGCCCATCAGCCCGCTAAAGGCCCACTCAAAGCTCGCCCTACCAAAGCCCCAGTGTCATTTTTAATGAAAATAAATAAATTTTTGATAAGAAAAAATAGAAAAAAATAAATAAAAAAGTTCAAGTTCTGCCCAAGCCCGGCCCAAGCCTAAGCTCATGCCCACCGGTCTAGCCTTGCCCGCCCAAGACCTGAATACACCCGGGCCTGGGCTTAATTTTGTAGTCCGGGTGGGTCGGGTCGGGCTAAACAGTTAGATTAACATCTTTTCTATTATATCATTCAATAATTGTAAAAAACAGTCAACTAGACTTTAATACATTTTGATTAACAGCTTTATGAGAATATAAAAAGTAGCATGTATTATAACCTGTCACAACTTTGTGATATGAAGAAAAATTACACATCAGGAGGGTATGACTAGACATGGTATGTATTTGAGGTGTGATTTAGAGAGATTAATAGCTAAAACTAAAAATAAAAAATAAAACTATGTCGGAAGAAATTTTATTTGATTTTATTATTATTGTAAATCGATCCATTCAGAGCCATCAATGAAGCCAAGAGAAACAAAAGGCTTAGCTTCTTCATCAGTGAGTTCTCTTGACCATGACACTCTTCCTGCAAAATTTGCACCTGGTCCTGTGCACTTGTATTGCCCGTAGAACACAGTCCTGCATGCCCAAACAAATGACAAATCACAAATCACAACATTAATACAATGCCCTCTCGTGTGCGAAAGGAACTTGCATAGTATCATCGATCAATAAAAAGTAATAAATGGATGGAATAAGAGTCTCAAGGACAAGCACTGGTTCGATGGCTCGCTTAGGCTAGTCCACTATTTTAATAGGGTTTGGGTCATAATTTTCTAGCCCATAGAATCAGATCGGGTTGAAATACACTTTCCAAAATTTAAACATTGGATGTAATGGATAAACAATAACATCTATGCAAACCTTAGGCATCGTGAGACGGCTTATAAGTCCATTTTGCTTAAGAAAGCTTCAGGTTGTTTATTATATCCATTTATATATATATATATATATATATAATATATATATATATATATATTAAAAAGTCAATTTAAACTATTTAAAAAAATATATTTGAAAAGTCAAAAAATAAACAAACTAACTTTTTTAAGTAATAACTTATTTATTTTACGTCAATAAACTAATTTATAAGCTGAGCACCTAAGATACAAAATTATTAGTATTAAATTTGTTATTTAATATATAAGTTCATGGTACAAGTTAGAAAATGTAAGTTTATTTTAGGACGAGGCTTAAGATGAGATTAGCGGGACAAGATAGTTTGTGACAACTCTAGATGAAATCATTCTTGGACATTATTTTCTAGCCCATAGAATCAGATCGGGTTGAAATACACTTTCCAAAATTTAAACATTGGATGTAACGGATAAACAATAACATCTATGCAAACCTTAGGCATCGTGAGACGGCTTATAAGTCCATTTTGCTTAAGAAAGCTTCAGGTTGTTTATTATATCCATTTTTTTTTTTTATATTAAAAAGTCAATTTAAACTATTTAAAAAAATATATTTGAAAAGTCAAAATATAAACAAACTAACTTTTTTAAGTAATAACTTATTTATTTTACGTCAATAAACTAATTTATAAGCTGAGCACCTAAGATACAAAATTATTAGTATTAAATTTGTTATTTAATATATAAGTTCACGGTACAAGTTAGAAAATGTAAGTTTATTTTAGGACGAGGCTTAAGATGAGATTAGCGGGACAAGATAGTTTGTGACAACTCTAGATGAAATCATTCTTATTTCTCATTTAACTGTAATTTCGACCCGTCCCATTAATCCTGATTAGGTAACCAAATATTTATTTACTCAATATATAGTGCACGCGTATGCTGTCCTACCTAATCTAAACTAATATATATAGTCTGAGCTTAGTTGGTTAGAGTGGACAAGCACAAATGGGTTAAAGGTTCCTAATCACCACTTTTGTCCTGGACACCAAATAATGTCATCCATCCCTATAAATATATTGACAAACACAAATTATATTTACGCGTAAAAGTTCATTTGAAAATTATCTTGAATGTGAAATCTTTGTTTTGTAGATTTAAAGTTGTTATTGCAAAGTCAAAATCAGAATGAATCTTAATTTTTAGTATTGGTTTATCAACAAATGAATAATTTAAGGTAGGAGGGGTGGGTGGGTATTTATTTGGTCATTTAAATAAATAAAGTTTTAAAAAGGTTAATTAGATTGGATGGAGGAATATGGATACAAATAATAATAAGTGAGTGATGGGAGTCGATTGGGGGTTTGGGACGGCACCGTCCAATGCCCACTATAGAGGATGGTCTTATTTTTTAGGTTATGCCCTGCCTACTATGCCACCATTTTTTCAGTGGACTAACCACTTTTTTTGTCCTTTTTTTTCTTTTCTTTTTTGGGTTGATAATATTTCTTACTTTTGTAAGAGAGTAAGGGCTCGTTTGGTGCAATTCATTTTCAAGTTGAAGTTGATAATAAATTAATAGTACTTATTTTTCGGGTTTTAGATAATCAAGTTTTTTTAATTCATTTAAGTTTATTTTTATCTCATAAGTAGATGGTAAACAAAACATTATTATATATATATATATTTTTTCAAAATAAATAATTTCAAAAGTTGTACCAAACATGATCTAAGTCTATGAACATAACACAACTTTCTAAAAAATACATAGAATGTAGCATCACACTTATTAGTGGAGTGTATGCCACATTTAGAATGAATATGAAATACTACATATTATCTATTTAAATGTCACCAAAAAAAAAAAAAGTTACGTACTAAAAAAAGTGTCTATACTTTGAATTTGTAATGTAAATTTAAATGTGTTTATACTTTGAATTTGTAATGTAAATTTAAATTTGATACGGTGTGAAAATCACATTTAAATGAATTTGATTCATACAATTCAAATTCTAGAGACTTTTTTAGGTATTTTTTAGTGCATAGCATTGTAGGTACCAAAAAAAAGACTTTATACCCTTATTTTTTACCCAAATTGTGATATGTATATGCATGTATGTTTGAACAAAAAATAGTACTACAAATTCATAATATGTGTACGAAAAAGTTCACAAAAAACAAAATGTACATGACTCAAATTCAATTTAAGCGTGGCTCACACCACATCATATTTGAATTTAAACCATATACTTCACTTTTTGTGTAGTTTTTCTTACACATTTTTTTTCTCAATATTGAGAATTTGAGAGAGAGAGAGAGAGGAGCTTACAATTCTCGATCAGGGTCACCCCAATTATACCAGCCTTTAGGGATGATAATGTTGTCCATGTAAGTGTAGGCAAAGACAACCCTAGAGAAGGGACCCCAAGCCCTCCCAAGGTAGAGAGCACCAGAGCCCGTGACCTTACAGTTGAGAAAGGAGAAACCAGTGTCTTCCAACAGGCTGTGTCTTCCCTGTGCTGTTAGTGCCCCTATTACCTGTGCTATTGCATGCACGTGACATCCCTGCACATGTTTCACAATCAGAATCACCAATTCACATGTCACATTATATTATTCATCATGTGATTTTGTAATTCCTCTCTCTTGAACACTGTTTCGTGGTTGATCAAATCGTGCACTTAATCATTACTCTTCCTTTCATGGGGTTTCTCCATTATTCATATCGTTCCGTATTTTTAAAAAAAAAATTATTTAAGTGCAATAATCGCGTCAAGGGCTATTTTTACACAAGGCTTTACTACTTCGGGTCTTTTAACTGAAATACATCAATCCGCAATATTAGTGCCCGCTCTCCAATCCGAGTGGTTAATAATGCACGTAAGTATGATGGTATTGGATTATGCAGCTCTTTTATGTGGATCATTATTATCAGTAGCACTTTTAGCCATTACATTTCGAAAAGACATAAATATTTTTTATGAAAGTAATCATTTATTCGTTTGTTGTATAGTAGCATGTAAATTGTCTCTTGTTGATGTTCTTCAAGACTTAATTTGCAAGAATAGACTTTTACATAATATCTAAATTTTCTATCTATTCATGTAATGAATCTTTAACAAAAGATTTATATTGATACAAATTGATAATTTAATCTGACAAAGTTAATTAGCATTTTTTAGTTGAAAATCCTTGTAAATTGAATCAGACTAGTTTTGCTAGACAATTGCTCAATGTCAAAACAAGGGTTCCAAATTTCAGCCTCAGCTGCTAATAACCAGACAAACTAATTTTGCAAAGACAATTCAAAGGATGCCAATTTGTCTCTGTGAAAAGATTGTGAATGAGGAAAAAGAGACCTTTTTCCACTCCAAGTGCTTCCATGACATAACATCTCCTTGTCGGCAGCCCCCCAAAAACACAGTTTCAAGGGCTGAGTTACTCAAATCGGAACGTACAGTTGTCGATTCCTCGATCTCCTCACTCAAATCGGAACGTGAAGTTGTAAGTGTATAGAACGGAAAGACAGAAAATCGTGTGCCCTCTTTTAGGACATTAGTCTCTCTTAAATTGGAATACTTTTGCTAGCTTTAGTAGTAACCAAGTTTGAGAACCCATCATTTTGGTGGATTCCATTCAATTGTTAAAGATTGGATTATTTTTTGTTCTTGATAGGTACTCAATTGTTTTAGTCTTATATATTGAAATTACCAGTACTATTAGTCACTCTCTTTTGTATTCTAATAAATAGGACTATTAAATGGTAGTTATCTATTTTAAGAAGACATTGTGTAGCAATTAAGTTACTTTTTACTAATTTTAAAACACTTGATTCACTGATTTCAATACAATTCTCAACTTTTATTTTTAAATCACTTTTCACCTCAATTTGAATGCAAACCAAGCCCGGGCACTAATTAACATTTGTCTTTCTATTTATAATGCTCTTAGGTGAAATGAGACAATAAAAGGCATGGTGCTAGATGGCAGAGTATGTGCAAACAATTCTTCTATTAACACAGAAACCAATAACAGAATTGGATACAATTCTCTCACATAGGTGTGAGACTGAACTCACATGAAAGAGTAACATTTGATTTTCTGATTGGTTTATATGTTCTTAGACTTTTGCATGTGTGAATTCAGTCAGGTTAAGAGAAACCGAACCTCAAACAAAGAGAGGCCATTGCCAAAGATGAAGTCCACAGAGCCTTCAATGTAGCAATCCTTGTAGTAATGCCTGCCCAATTGATCATACAGTGTGTCCTGTGCTCCCAAGAATTTACACCCTAAAAATGCTGCTGTATCTGCTGATATCCTAAATGCCACTGCTTGCTTTCCTACTGCACCTGCTGCTGGAACTGGTGTTGTGTTCTGTTTTCGTTTTTCATGTTTTCAAAAGACAACAAACAACGAAAAGTTTATTAACACCCTACATTCTCATATGGTTTCATTTTTGTGTGAAAACAGTTATAAAAAAAAAAAATTCGAAAATGGTATTGATGTTTTCTAAAATGTGGGTTATTTTAAAAAATTATTCCCAAAATAGTTTTTTAAAACGGTTCATAAACACAACCAAAATTATGGACACATTATTACCTTGAATGTGATGTTCTTGGCAATGAAATATGGAGAATTCACAGCAAAAGTAGCAGAAGCATAGGTCCCAATAGGCAGCCCTTTTGGCCCAAGGGTCTGAGCTGTGTCTCCCCATTGAACAATTGTTTTCTCTGCTCCTGCTCCTTCTATGGTTATAAATGATTTTAATGAAGGTATATTGACCTTTTCCCTGAAATATTCACTTTTTGGAATCAAACCCATATCTCATCCTAAGAATTAAAATCAAACCAAGCAAGAAATAAAGCACATAATAAAAAGACAAACCAAAAGAGACTAGCGTGACCGGTTTGTGAGCCAGACAACAGGGCCTAAACAAGCTTGCAAATGCAAGAATTTGTAGACGCTCTCTCAAGATGGACAAACGGGGCCTAATTAAGTTTTTTTTTTTTTGTTTCCCCCCGATGAAAAGGGTAGGAGGAACGACCGGCATGTAATAAACCTTTCTTGATATGGCCATATAGCCCTTCTTGTTGGGAAGTTAGACCAAAAGGGACCTAAACAAGCCTACAAATGCAAGAATTCACAAGCGCTCTCTCAAGATTGACAAAAGGGCCTAAATTTTTTATTTATTTATTTATTTTTTTTTTTTGGGGGGGGAAGGCAAAAACAGGTGGGAGGAACGATCAACGTGTAGTAACCCTTTCTGGGCATGACCATAAGAGCCCCTCTCTCATTGGGGAGTCAGATAGGAAGGGCCACAAATGCAGAGAGAACCGCAAGCGATCTCTAAAGACGAGCTGAGCCATTACCTGACTCAATCCCACTAAAAACAAGTCATTTATCACTTGGTAATTCTCAGTCAAATGAACCATTTCTCACAGCATTTTGATCAGAAACAAGAAGACAAAGCAACAAACAAAAAACCACCCTTCCCTATCACACACTGGCCATAGAATTAAAAGAACCTCAATATATTGACAAACTCTTTCCAATTCCATGACTTGGATAGAACATGACCCATTTGGCATAACTCAAAACCCAAAAATAAAAGAAAGAGAACAGAAAAAATTGAGACCATATTTTTAAATAATAAAAAAAGGAATAAATAAATGCTTACGTGTAAACTCCTGCATGAACCTTGATCACAACCCTCACAAGATTAATGAAAGGGAGAGAATCAATGGCATCTTGAATGGTGGTAAAGTCTCCGGTGACCGGATTCTTGTCCACGGTGAGAGTGATAGATGGCACGAGCTTGTTGATTGCAGTACTGAAGAGGGAGTGCCTGAGACTACCAACAAAATCAACCCATTTCAAGAATTGCTGTGTTGAGATTTGGACTTGTGTCATGTTTAATGTAAGCTGAATCCCTTGTGAAGATCTATTGGGTCTAATGCCCTTGGTGTGACATAGTATTTGGCTTGCATTTAGAAGAAGAATGATAATGATATAGAAAATGTGTCTAAAACAAGGCATTAATTGGAGGATGAGAAAGAGAATGAGAATGAGAGAGGAAAGAGAGAAACTATTGAAAGGAATCTTGTTTTGGACTTCCAAAGTGCATTAGAAGATGGCATATGTAATGCATATATATAACTACTTTTTAGGCCAACCTTAATTAATAAACATTTTCAAGTATTCCAAATTTACTACACATATACAGACCACATTAGACATATATTTACATAATAAATTTTGAATATTTGTAAATTATGTGCTTATTAATTAAGACGAGCCCAAAATTTTTTTAAAAATAAATAAATAACTTTTTTAATAAGAAACCTTCTATGTATTTCACATCAAAGTATTTTGAAAAATATATTTCAAATATTGGCAATCACTCAAAAACAACGAGTATTAATTAAGATCAGACACAATTTTAAGGGATTTTTTTTTCTTTTTAGGAGGAACCTCCCATGGTGGACTACATTAGATATATTCGTATGAAATAAATTATAAATACTCGTAGTCACTCATAAATAGTGTGTAGAAACATGATTTTTTTTTTTTTTATTTTTTTAACCATACCAAGAACCTCCCATGGTAGACAATATTAGATATATTTCTCTAATATAAATTACAAATATTTGTAGTCACTTCCAAATCATTTGTATCAATTAGAAAGAACACAGAACTAAAAGAAATTACACCTAAAAATGTAGAAGTTTATGATTTATTTCAAAATAAGGTCTCGTTTGTTAACTATACATTTTAGTCAAAAAATCACTATAAGTTGTCACATCATTCTTTCTATTTTTTTATACTTTTTTTTTTTTATAAAACGTTAAAAAATTATTAAAATAACTTATTTTCAAGCAATATTTAAGTTTCTTTCAAGTGGTTGCTATATATTTTATTTTATATATATATATATATAGGTAGTTGTCTTAGGGTGGAAAGTGATGTTGAGTTAGAGAAGCATGACATGGATTGAGAGAGGTCACGGGTGCTTCCACTGACATTTATGGAGAGAGAGAGAGAGAGAGAGATCACAGGCATGAAATTGAGGCCACAATGACATCTTCTCATGAATGCACTTTTTGGATTATAGAAACGTTTTGTTTTGTAAACAAATGTTTGCTTTTGGTTCTGGTATTTGTTTGTAGGTGCCCGTGAGTGTGTGTGTGTTTGTGTGTGAAGCTGAATATATTCGTCATAGTCATGTGTTTGTCTATCTATCATTGGTAACCATATGATTCAACTTTGTATCTTCAGGTTTACATGAAGGGATCACTATCTTTCCTACGGTACGGCTATCAAAACTAGCGGACGATTAGGAATCAAACAAGTGACAAGAGTTCAAATAATCATACCAGTTTTGACTGTTTTGGACGGGCTGAGATCACAAGCCTTTTTGTCAGTGAGAACTTTTTTTTTGTTTTTGGCGAATTACAATAACTGAAAAATCTAAAAATCCCCTAAATGTTGATTTGTGATTATATATCAATTTTAAACAGTAAACAACAATCCCAATCAAACAATCAAGAAAAATCGACACAACGATTTTACGTGAAAAAATCATAATTAGACACCTCTAATTGTGATAAAAAAATCACGAGCAACAGCCACAAAATAATTCACTAAGAAGATATAAAAGAATTACACAGGTATACTCTCAATTACCTAGCGAATCTACGCCCGAATTGAACCAACCTTTATGTGTCTCTTCCAACCCCGTCTTCACCTCGGAATTGTCTTGACGATAAGCCACTCCAGAATCCACCAAAGCTTCAGGCTCATATTTTTCAGAATCCACCGAAGAACAACTCTTTCTTTTGTATAGAATTAAACAAACAATCATTTGATGTAAACTTCTAAAACCATGAGTTGAATACTCAATCAAAATATTAAAGAAAACTAGCAAAATATCTCCAGAGATTAACCTTAATATCCAAAAAGAAAATTTGGAGAAGTAATCCTAAAATCTGACAGAAACCCGTACTTATAAAAATCTGGGACTGCGAAGCTCGCTCGAGCGAGGACCCAAAAATGCGTGTTTTCCATAAGTGGCTTCGCTCGAGCCAAATAACCTGCGTTCGAGCGTAAAATCATCCTTTTCAGGTTTTTATATGGACGCAGCCTTCGCTTGAACGAGCAAGGGTGGACAGGCAACTTCGAATGCAATTTTGCATTTTGCCTCGGGGGCACTGTCCCGAACCCGCCAATAGGCACTGCCCCCTGGACCCCCGCTAGCTGACCGGGCAGCTCGATCCCCGTCATAATCAGCGAAGTGGCAATCTTGAAAGTATTAACATCACAAACTTCTCTGCAAGGCATAATTCGAGTTGGATTCGCATCTAAAAACTCATAACCTCACTGAAATAAAAATGCAAAAACAAATACAACTGAAATGAGTTTTGTCAAACGGGATTGCCAAGAATAAAAACCTAACAATAACAATTCTTATAATTTGGGACTCGTGTCACTTTGGTATTTGCATTTTCAATTGTGACATATTTGATCCTGAATTTTGAATCTTGTTTCAAATAAGGACAATTGAATATACCATTACTTAATTTTAAGGGCAAAATCGTTAAGTTGATAAAATATAAACTAATTTGACAAAAATAAATATCAAAAAAATATTTTTGAAATGTTAAATTTTTTTTTTACCTACTAAAGATAAAATTATGTAAAATTAATAAATATTTTAGACATTTATTTATTTTTTTACCAAATTATTTTTTATTATGTGTTTGGATGGTGATCATGTAATGGATGGTTGTTAGGATTTTAATGTGTAATCGATATATTCAATACATGAAATGTTTTTAATTTTGAATTTTTTAATTTAATAGATTAGTTTAATAATGATATCAAAGTTGTCGTCATATTTGACTTTTGAAAAAATAGAAGCTAATTTAATGAAAATAAAAACCATCCATTACATGATCATCATTCAAACAAATAATAAAAATTAATTTGATAAAATAAATAAATAAATATCTAAAAGATTTATCAATTTTATATAATTTTATCTTTAGTCGGTAGAAATAATTTTTAAAAACTAAAAAATATATTTTTTGACATTTATTTTTGTCAATTTAGTTTATATTTTATCAAATTAACAATTTTACCCTTAAAATTAAACAATAGTATCTTCAATTGTCCTTATTTGAAACAAAATTCAAAATTCAGGATCAAATGTGCCACAATTAAAAAGTTAGGGACTAAAGTGACACAAGTTTCAAATTATAGGGACCATTGGTGTAATTCGCCCTTATTTTTTTGGAAACGTTTAACATAGTTATATTAAGAGGATATCATCTCAATTTGAGAGAGCGTTGAGCTTAATAGATTTATTTTGAATTCAATTTCAATAATCTGAATCGTTTACTTTTTTGAATTCACCAGGCCTCGTTTGGGAATAGATTGATTTAGTAACTTTTTGGCTATTTTGCTAAAATATGAGTTTAAAAAAACTAGTATGTTTAGGATGACTTTTTAACTTTTTATGAAAAGATGTGCAAAAAGTAGAGAGAAAAGAGAATCTTTGACTTTTTTGTATGGGTTGTTGGGTTTTTAGCTTTTTTAATAATTTTTTGACTTTTTGGCTAAACCGACTAGTCCCAAAAAAATCAAGATAATTAATTATCGGTGGCTATATGTTTGAATAATATTTATTTTAAAAAATTATCGACAAATTTCATTTTAAAAATGATCATTCATTTTTGTATAATAAAAATTTGATTCAAACATATGCTTGTCAATATTTGACCATCTTATTTTTCATATGAATATTCTACTAAATAAATCCTAAAAAGTGAATAATTTAAATCATCAAAATAAAATATGTGATGAGCTCCACGATCCCCTCAAGTTCTCTAATGTATGTGAGCCTTAGAGAAGCGGACAACAGCAAGGTCTCAAAGAATCAAACAAAAAACTTAAAACAAACTAAAATAAATAAATAAATACAAAATACAAAAGCTGACAAAAAAAAAATCAGCCACGGTGTTAGTGAGAAGGGCCTGGCTTTCCTTGGTCCCAGATTGAATTAGAAGGTATTATTAAGTCTATAAGGGCTGATCATGGATATTGTTTTGATAATTTGAACTGTTAAATATGTAGAATTCATTGAGTACTATATCTCTGTAAAAAATCAAGTGTATCGGATATCGATAGCTATGTGATCAAATCAGTTTTGTATAAAAAAAAAAATGAACGGTGAAAAAATGAACGATTGACAGAAAACTGATCCAATGAGATAGCTATTGAAATCCGATCAATATGATTTTTTACAAATATATAATAATCAACGAGTTCTATACATTGAACTATTCGGATTATCGAAACGGGACCCGTGATAAGCCCCTATGGATCCAACAGCACCCTCTGGAACCATTGCCTAGTGGGAATTGTTATGTCCACTTGATGGATTAATTAGTGTTGTGTATATATATGAAAACATATATATATCATATAGGGCTACTTCTATTTTTTATTATCAAAGTATGAGTATTATGTTTTTTTGGTCCAGAATATTTAAATTATTTAATTTAGTTTGGTTTTTAATATTTAAATTGTGTCAATCTGATCCTAATATATAATTAATTTAGTTATGTTAATATATAGACACAATTTAAATATTGTGAGACTAAAATTAAAATACTTTATATACATTAAAAGAACAAAATTGAAACACCAGATTAATACAATTTAAATATTGAGGATAATGGAAACACTTTTTACATCGGAGACTATATATTAATACAATTTAAACATTGTGGATCAAAATGACACAAGACTTATACTTTATGAATTAAATATGTAAACGGTAAATTAGACTCACCTCTACACTTTTGATATAATTACACTAAACTCTCATTTATAAAGCTAAATCAACTCAAATTAATGTAGATAATAAGTAAATATTGAAATAAATAAAGATAAATATGTATTTTACCAAATAAGAGATGATAATAGGGTTTTTTTTTTTTTTTTAGGGTCTCTGATATTAAGATTTTATAGCATGAAGGACATTTAATATTTTTATAATGTCTAAGGTCTCTCAACATTGATTCAGAGAATTTCAATCTAGAGAAATTCTATCCAGAGAAATT